GCCGCTGCTTCCCTTTATGAATTTGCCTGGTTTGTGTGAACAGTAAGAGATCAGACTGACTCACAAGCGCTGCCGCAGGCGCCCTGAGAGCCGAGGATCTGGGACTGAGAGCGTGAGCGTCAGACCAGGAGACGCAGAGGAAACGACAACGCTGCTCCCAACGACAAACCCAGAGCCAGAAAAAACGTCATCAATGCACCGGCCGTCTCGCCATCTTTAGGCTCCACAAGCCTAGAAAGAGAGGAGAGGAAATAAACATCAGCATGTGACATTTATGAAGTGTGCAGTGTGTTTTTAAAGGAATAGTTCACCTGAAAATGAGAATCTACATATTGGATAGTCTTAGGATTTATTTTTTCATCTGAACAGATTTGGAGAAATGTAGCATTGCATCAGTGTCTCAGCAATGGATGCTCTGCAGTGAATGGGTGCCGTCAGAATGAGAGTCCAAACAGCTGATAAAAACATCACAATAATCCACAAGTAATCCACACCACTCCAGTCCATCAGTTAACATCAAGAGAAGAGAAAAACTATGTTTGTAAGAAACAAATCCATCATTAAAACGTTTTTAACTTCAAACCATGGCTTCCAGCTAAAATACTAAATCCATAATCCATAATATTTTTTCTCCAGTGAATAAGTCATCTGGTCTGAATCAGGAGAGAAATCTGCACAGATCAAGCAGCGTTTACAAGCCAAAACAGCTCTAAACAAATATGTGTCTGGATTCTGATGTGAGAGACAACAGGAGATGGACTTTTTCACTGGAGGAAGCGTTATATGGACTCAGATTTTAGCCAGAAGCAAAAGTTTGAAGTTAAAAATGTGTTAACGATGGATTTGTTTCTTACAAACATGCAACTTTTGTCTTCTCCAGATGTTGACTGGTGGACTGGAGTGGTGTGGATTACTTGTGGATTATTGTGATGTTTTTATCAGCTGTTTGGACTCTCATTCTGACGGCACCCATTCACATCCATTGATGAGCAAGTGATGCAATGCTACATTTCTCCAAATCTGATGAAGAAACGAACTCATCTACATCTTGGACGGCCGGAGGGTGAGCACATTTTCATTTTTGGGTGAACTTGGGTGATCATGTGACACTGAAGACTGGAGTAATGATGCTGAAAATTCAGCTTTGCATCACAGGAATAAATTGCATTTGAAAATAAATTACGATAGAAAACAGTTATTTTAAATTGCAATAATATTTCACAATATTACAGTTTTTACTGTATTTTTGATCAAATAAATGCAGTCTTGGTGAGCCCATTTGTACACAATGTGTGTGTGAGTGTGTGTGTGTGAGAAGTGTGTACTCACTGTGGCGCGTACGTCATGGAAAGACACACAAAGTATCCGCTGGACACGGAGAAAAACACCATGATTGCAGCAAACATGAAGTCGTTTGAGAAGAGCACAGGCATGTAGTGTCTCTCCTGCACGTTACACATCATGAGCAGCGGAACGAAGATCACTCGACAAACCACTAACCCCGGGAACAAACGACTGTCTTTAGAGGGCTGCAGGAGAGACAGAATACACAGAAGAAATTATTACATACTCTATGAAAGCTCCACCAAACAGAAACAATCACCACAATATAAAACAATCAAAAAAAAATGAAACATTTTCTTACAGGCTGTGGAAAAATGTCATGAATGCATGTTTATCCTCTTTTTTCCTTCATTCAATAACAGAAATGTAATATTCAAGTGACAAATATATATATAT